ATTTCACTCACAGACAACTTCCTGATTCTGCAAAAAGAGGTGGGGAGGACAGGCAGCGCTGAGGAGGGCAGAGCAACAAAAGAGCAGGAAGGACACAAAAGAGAAAAGTGCAAGGTAGAATTCCAACACAAGGCTCCACCTGGGCCCCTCCCCTTTGATAACCCCCCCCCCCCTCACAGTCACCACACACACACAGCTTCCCAGGCTGGTGCGTGAGGTCTTGTCTACCTCTCCCTCAGCCTGGTCAGCCCCCACCCCCCAGCGCCTGACCCAGTCACAGCATCCACTGCGAACCTACGTGTCCCCCCCCCCTTTTTTTTTCCTTCTCTCTATTCACCAAACACCATGCATCACTGTCAGCCACCGCGCCGTCCTCACGCATTCATCGTCTTAGCACAGACCCCTCACGAGTGCCGGGGGTTACCAGCAGCCGTTTGGCCACACCCCTTTCCGTCCGCGATCCCATCCTTTGCTTAGGTGCGAATAATGGAGTCCGAACCGCAGTCAGATTATTCCACTGTCTCCTAATTTCACGTTGACGCTGCAGGTACGAGCGAGAACTCGGATCTGATTCGTTTACGACAGTGTGAACGACACAAACCCGATTCTTTTCAAATCCGACCCAGACCAATTTTCACGTGTTCCTGAATCAGATATGTATCAGATGTTCTTCAAACCAACCTCCGTCTGAAAGGTCATGACACTAAAGTGAGACTGATATCACAACAAAAATGTTGCCAACGACCCCCCCTCACCCGCTACCCCCCTTCACTCCTTCTTTCCAGAATGTTAACACCGTTATGGCCAGGCTTTCTCCCTGAAGCAGAGACTATCAGGTTGTTGAGTTGATTGACAACTCTAACACTGAAACACACACCGACGTGTGCAGGCAGCCGCGTTTAATTCTGCAAATACACAGCGAGTGACGTCAGGTCTCATTTTCTGCACATGTGGGTCACTGCAGGGTCGCGGGCCGCTCGCACCGGAGGACGAGTGAGGAAATGTGAAACATCTACGACAGCATTTAAAAAAGGAATTTTCATCTGAGCACGAAAAGGAATTGAGCAACGAGACCTGCGGTCTGAACTGGAAGACGGTGCAGCCCACGTGGTGCGACACTGAGGTCAACCATCGCAATGGCCGACTGTCACCGTTGATGAACGTTAGCTTCAATTTTGGAACTTAAATTAGGAATGAAAAAATTTAAAATTTTATTCTGATTGGGTCATTTTTAGGTCAAATCACAAAGACGTTTGTTGATCTCAGCATCTGTCAGTTACACATTTAAAAGGGAAATTTGGGATTTTATGATACACACTGTATGAAATACTAATCTGAAAATACACATCGCTCAAAAGAAAGATAAATTCCATCAAACTAATCTGTAAAAATGTCTCTGCAGCAAAAAGAGAAAATTATTAAATATTCTATAAAATACAATTTTTTTTTTAAATCTAAACATGTCTTAGGTTGTGAAGTCTATAAAATGCAATTTTTTTATTTTAATCTAAAGTTGTTTTAGGTGGTGAAGTATATTCAAACTGTGAGTAATCTCTCTGATCATTTGTTGCGTGGCCTGAAAATATCAGAACAATAGACGTTGATGGGCTACATGCTACATGTTCCTCCACACTGGCTGCTCTGCTGCACACTTCAGTTAGCATACAGAGATGTGGTTTGTTTTTTTTCCCTCACCTTCTAGAACTTGTCAGTCACATGGTTATTAGTGTGCTCTCATTTCCACATGTTACGTGCGTCTTTTGTGTCGTTAAATGGTGTAGATTGACCTGGTGAGTGAACTGCAACAACACAGAACTGTCAGCACGGACCGAGTCACTGCAGCAACATCTGATGCACTGAGCATATATGTTTTTTAACAATGTCAGGTCATTGTTTTATTTTATATATAATATCCATCCTATATGGATATATTTCACTCAGAGAAGGAAGGATTCCTAGGGTCGGTGCTGCGTGCAACAGTCAGTGCGATGCTTCTACTTCCTGCTGCCGTGATCGATACCAGCATGAGAAATTTTGGCAAGGAGAAAAAAAAAAAAAAAAGGTTGAACACTTGAGCTGGGCTGCTGTTGAGGCTGATATGTGTGTTTTTATGTTCAAATATTTATTGACAACTGTCACAACTTAGCTCTGCCCCAAGGGCTTGAAAAAGTGGTTTTCTAAATACAGGACGAGTACAGAGAGAATGCAAACCTCTTCACAAAAAAAGAAAAAAGAAAAAAAGAAGCCCTACAGCTTTAGGGAAACTGAGACATGACACTGCTGACCTGTAGAGGCTGCCACGCTGGGTATTACAAGATATATTTATTTAAAATATCAGCCAAAGTTTAAAAAAAAAAAGCTGCACTTCTGATTTAAATTCACAGTCACACGGCGGTCAGTCATTATCAATGTACCAGTACAGTACCAGTACAGTACCAGTACAGTACCAGTAGTGCTGTGGTGACAGGCTCAAGGACACAATGCTTTTCACAACATACACCACCGAATCTCTCTCTCTCTCTCTCTCTCTCTCTCACTCTAATACACACACACAGAACCCCACGCACACACACACCAGCGTATGTATCCATGCATGTACCTTCACAGGGCCACGTTGCTGCCCCCTGCAGATACAGTGAGACACATTACTGAGTACAAGCCAGAACCCGCC